CATAGAAGCAAAGGATGAAATTTCCTCAAAAATTTCCCTTTGCTTCACAAAGGCACTAGTTATAACAAATTTCGTTACGTAACTCGGTAAGAGTCGTATGTTGTGTGTGTAGTTCAATTGTTGTAGTATTGTTTCGTTATCTTTTTTGAAACCTCTAAATTTTTCTCACTATGTGAGTGTTGTTACATCATAACGTCTCGTAATTTGTAGAAAGTTCGAGTCCTCAGTTGTACAATATATATAAGCGGCCAAGCGAGCACAAGTCAAGTAAAGTTCAATAATGTGAAGTTCAGTCAAGAAAAGTTAGTTAGTTAGTTGGTTAAAGAAAACGTGAAGTTAGCCAACGTGATTAGTCTTAACGGGTAATTTCTATAGTGTGTTTCACAGTTGTATTGTAACAACAAAGAAGATAGAAAAAATAATTTGTTTTGTCAGTTGGATTCAAAAGTAACTGAACCAGCTTGTATGGACTTTTGACGAGAAAAAGCTCTGGATACAGTTGTGGTAACCAACAAAAGAAGTTAAGTGAAGTTAGAAGTAAGTTAAGTCAGAAAACATTAAGTTGTTGAAAGTGAAGTTAGACTGCATGATTGTTAGTTTAGCCGTAACAGGCGATATTTTAAAGTGGGTTTCACAGTTTAACATAGATAAGAAGAAGAATTTGTCTTTATCAAGAGGTATCCTAAAGTCTGTGTAGACTTTGACGAAAAGGAGACAATTATATATAGTTTGTCAGTTGGATTCTAAAATAATTGAATCACCCTGTGTGGACTTTTGACAAGAAAAGAGAATTATTTAAAGTTAGATACAACTGCAATATCCTATAATTTAAAGATTTTTTTATACATACATTTGGCTTATTTTGAATATATTATTTTATAACAAGTGGATCGTGTGATGTCCATTTATTTTTCGAATTTATCGCGAAGAAGTTACAGACACCTACTGTAGAAGAATCTCAGCCCACACATATATACATAAAACCCTGACACTTATCTAATCTAAAACTAGAAATAAGATATATAATGCCTATGCCATCAATGTGTGATTTATAGATCGATAGGAAATTTGTGTGATATTAAATCACAATAAGATTAATGAGCTATGGTATTGAGTGAAAGGTATCGTTGGAAGTGCATGCAGCACATAAAATATGTGGTTCAAATGCTATTATATTCTTCTTACTGGGAAACCATATAGTAAAGTAAGATTTGTTTAAAACTATCACTCTTGTTGTAAAGTAATATTACACAATCTACTAACGTAGAAATGTTTTACTTAGATGATTTTCTTTAAACGTCAAAAATAATGTCTTTCTTGACTAGAAACCTAAAAAAAATTACATTACTTATATCTTTTAACGATAATAAACCAAAGACTTACTATCTTAAATTTTTAAGAATGAAGATAAGAGGATACACTTTCTCAAGAACATTAAACACCAAATTATTATCTCTGAAACAATTTTCCACTAAATTTCCCAATGCAGCACAAAATACGTTATACTTTATGGCTTACCCAAAGTGCAGAAAACTGGATACCCTCTCCGTCCTTTTGATAGCTTGCAATTTTCTGTCACTTAATCATTATAATTCTTTTTTCAGATGTGTTCGATAAGACGAGACATTTCCATTATTAAGTCTGTTTCCAATTATTTTATGCGTTCATTTCTATTATCAGTTGGTACATTTATATGACGCTGTAACCCTTTAGACAGGCGTAAGCCGAAACGTTGGGTTTCAGTAAAATCGTTTTTTTTTTTGTTATTTTTTGCGTCTATGTGTGTTTAGACTTTTTTGTAGTAAACATGGTTCCAATCGTCCAGTATGCTCTGCAAAGCTCAAAAACTTGTACGTTTTTCACCACGGGCTTTTCTACAATGGACACTGAAACTCACATGCACTTCAACATAGATTGGCTTCTGACATCTGTGTAAACAGCATCAACTTATTCCTGTTAACATTCAGAGACGTTTTAGTCGCCCAACAAGCGTAAATGGTAGTTTATTGTCTCTATGTTTGTTTAAGTTATTTTATAATATTTTCGAAGACTCGTTAAACTGCATGTACATTAAAAATTAGCATCACCTATTCTAAACAAACTATCTTGACACAACTGCAACAGTACTAGTTTTCTTCGTTAGGTTGAGAATATTACACATACGATTAAGTATAGACGAATACAAAATTAACAAAATACGACTAGATAATAAATTCAAGAAACTTTCTCTCCATTAGATCCAGAAATTATTTCCGAAGGTTAAGAGCTCCACATTAGTGTACTGAGTCATCCATATATATATATATATATACGTAAAACAAGCTGTGAAAGTATCGTCGCTAGGAGTACATTATTTGACTTCAATGATGACAATGTAGCAGAATTTATGTAAAATATCTTAAATTACCAGTTGATAACATATTATCGACTATTCGCTCCACTCTTGATATAGCTGGTGATGAAACTACGTCCATAACCAACCAAAATTCATTGAGCAAGAATAATAAAAAAGTGATTTTTCTCGATAACATCTCACTCTCCAAAGACTATGTCCATTCTTTCAAAGCGTCCAAAATTTGCTATTTTAGACAATTAATTACCAATATAAGTCTTGATATCAGATCATCTTTCCATCGATGTTTATATACATTGAGATCGATTAAAAAGATAATTCAGTTGAAGATAATAATGTAAAATTTAATTATAACTTTTTCCTGTTCCCTTTCATTATGATGATAAATACATTGGTGACACCAGTCGTCCAGTATGTGAACTTTTCACGGAACACATCTGTAGCACCATGAAGCCCCCCAGCGGACTTACAACGCTAGAAACCTGGTTTCGATACCCGTGGTAGGCAGAACACAGATAGTCCTTGTGTAGCTTTGTCCATAATTAAAAACAAACAAGCACCGTGAATCTGGATTTTAAACAGGCCGCTTCCGAACACTTTCTAATGAAACATGGTACAGTAGATAAAACACCGTTTAACGTTAAACTATTGGCAAAACTTAATAGTTTCCTTAATAGGAAATCCAAAGAATTTCTGGCTCAGTCTTATAAAACAAACGGAAATAATTTTTGGCCTCTGTACTTAGCTTTATTTTTACATTTTTTCTGTCACTCTGTGATTCTAATTCTTTTAAATATGCCTACGATAATACGTTACATTAGCATTGTTAAGGCAGTTTTTAATTGTTTTAAATGTTTTTTTCTATTATCAGTTTGTATTTGTCTTTGACGCTGTAACCCTTGAGAAAGGTGTAAGCCACAACGTCGGATTTGAATAAAATCGTTTTTTTTTCTGAAATGTGATCAGTCGTGTTTTTTGTTGTTGTTGTTGATTTTTTTATAAACATAGTCTTTTCTGAAAAAAGGTGATTTCGGACAAGAATATTTCTTAATAGATGAAAAATTTAATTTTGTTCAATTTTATTTTAAGAATATTATTTTTAGATATCAAGCTATATGTAACTCTTTAAAATTCTGCATTTAAGCAAAATATCTTGTAGAGGGCATCTCAAAGTAGTGAATATAATATTCGAGGTAGGAATAAAGCTTATTTTTAAATACATTTTTTATTACTAAGAGGTTAGCGAAGTTAAGGTATCATGACACAAAAAATCAAATTTGACAATTATTAGTGGGTCTAGTATACTATTATTACTAGTGAGGTAGTCTGGTTATGAGTACTAAAAAGTAAAAATATTAAAAGTTTTATCATTCGACTTCGAACGATTTTCCTTAACTCTAAGGGTTACTTTTAGTTTTAATTTAACCCATTCATTGAGAAATTTTTGTTTGGGGAGGAGGTAATTTTATTACGTAGCTGTGGATTTTGTTACGTAGTTACAAAGTCAGTAAAACAAGTTATTTATAATATGACGATAGAATATTTTCTTTTGTGACGTTATAGTCACCTTTTGCTAAGTTTTAAATTTTAGTAGCACTCAGAAATTGCTTGTTTGGCATTTTTAGGCCTACTGCTTTCAGTTTCAGTTATGTAATCTATTCATACTCGTCTTGATTATTTTTTTATTAAGTTCGAGAAAGTGTTTGGGGTACGTCTTGGAGCTTGTCCAACATTTACTGTTTGTTTTTTTATTTTATAGGCTGATAGTGATACACTAAGTAGGTAGAGGAACCTCTTGTATTGTAACTTGTAAGACTTAAAAGTCTGCTCCCCCCTCAAATAAAGATAGTGTACATAAAATGAAGAATATTGCAGACTAAAAAAGGTTCAACTAAATGTCCAAAATGTCTGTTGGCCTACATTTTCATGACATATGATGATACATCTCCATGTATGATGTGACAGTGACATCCTCCTTAGCATATTATGGGTGACTTTGGCAAAACTCTCAACACTTTTTTGTTTCAAAGCATTGGTTATTTCATATCATTCCTTTGCCACAATCATTACTAAAATGCAAAAAAGTAAACTATTAACATAAGATGCCTAGACTTTTTGCCCACCTTGTATAAAGATAAAAACTTGACTTCTGGTAGTCTCATCCATTACCTGTTTTATCATATTACTTTGTTGTTTTCAGGAGAAATATTTAATAAAGGCTAATACTTGTATATACCTCAATAAAGGATCACATTAATAAAACCAAATTTACGTACTGATTTAACTCGAACAATTTCACAACATGCCTTTCTAATCCTTTATTCTTATTTAAAACATTAAAATTATTTAAATACATCCATGGGTATTTTTACCATTAATAATTAATGGTTAAATAGTGACATACAGCCACAAAACTGTAAATGTTTGGAAAAACCCACGATTTATCCCAAACTTTTGAAGGAAGCATGTTATTCTCTTAAAATATGCTATAGTCACGTGGTGTAACCTACAAAACACACAACCACTAAAAATCTTGGGGATTTCCATGGGATGCTCCAATTATATGCGTAATTGAGAAAAATACATCTGTGTAGGGATATAGCAACATAAATGAAGTATATGCTAAAGTTTCTACAGGAGAATATACACACATAAACAGATACCATGTCCTAGTCTTTACAGCACAGTTTAACAAAAGGGTTAATTTTGAGAATTTAAGTTTAGGTCTGGCCTCAGTGTAACTTACTTAAGAGATCTACTGCTACTAGTTCTCTACTTGTACCATAAGTGTTAATATTTAGTTTTAGAGAGTTATTAATTGAAAATTTTTAGTATAACTTAACCACAGGTTAATTTTAAAATTACAAAAACCTCATTAAATTTCAAATGTCTTCCTCCAAGTAGCATAAAACTAAAATTCTATCATACCTGGCAAGTCATACATTTACATCAGTCAGTGATGAAAAGTAGTGTAGGTGTTAAGAACTCATAATTTGTAGGGTGCAAGGAGTGGGTTTTGAATGGGAATTTGGGTCTGACATGCACTTTTTTAGGACACCAATAGTGGAGATGTACAAATTTGTTTAAAGAGGTTGGAGGTGGAGGAGAAATTGGAGGCTCTCCTAAAGAGAGTATAGATTATACATAAAGAGAAGTGTAAACTGTGGGAAATGGCAGTAGGATTTCAAAAGTAACTGCAAAAATACAGTAGCTAATAATGACTTTCAGGAAATTAGAAACAATACTATTGCAGCTATAAGTAATGGATTAAATTGTAATGAGCATGTTCTACTAAGAAATAGATTGCAGTCTTTAGCTTGTACAGATGAATTGTAGGAGGGACAGAACACAGAAGGGACACTTTTGGAACTTAAGGAGGTTACAGTTATAGATGACACTTGGATACGGCTCACAATGAACATTTTTTATTCTCATGTTTGTTAACAAAAATACAAACAAACTGAAGAAAAAGGTTTGCTTGTTTAAATTTCGCGCAAAGCTACTCAAGGGATATCTGCGCTAGCCATCCCTAATTTAGCAGTGTAAGACTAGAGGGAAGGCAGCTAGTCATCACCACCCACTGCCAACTTTTGGGCTACTCTTTTACCAATGAATAGTGGGATTGACCATCACATTATAATACCCCAGAGTGCTGGACTGACCACCGTTTGATCATTTCCAGACTGGCTGTAAGAGTTGTGCCACGGAGAAGACCTCAAGGTCAAAAAATGTTAAGGAGATTGAATGTTGCCCGGCTGAAGATTCCTGAAGTTGCTGAGGCATTTCAGAAGGAACTGGAATATACCATCACGAATGGCGTTGCAGATGCTGATGCTGATCCCGAAGAGCGGTGGACGAAGCTCCAAGAAGTTCTCCGTGCTACCGCTTCACAGCACCTTGGACCACTCAAACGCAAGCACCAGGATTGGTTTGACGAGAGTGACAAAAAGATCCAGGATCTGCTAACCGAGAAGCATCAGGCCTTTATGGTTTACCAGAATGATCCTGCTTCGAAGTCCAAGAAAGCGGCTTTTGCAAATGCCAAGGGGAAGGTGCAAAAGGAACTGAGACAGATGCAAGATGCATGGTACAATGCCAAAGCTGAGGAAATCCAAAGCTAGGCCGACCAGAATGACAGCAAGCGCTTCTATGAATCATTGAAAACGGTTTATGGACCCAAGTGTGCTACCTTGCTCCCACTGTTGAGTTCAGATGGCAGCCGGCTCCTCGTAAACCGGAAGCAGGTTCTAGATAGATGGGTTGAACACTTTGAAGGCGTTCTGAACAGACCATCCGTTATAAACGATGAGGCCATTGACCGCCTATCTCAAATAGATATCAATGAGAATCTCGCGCATCCTATAACGGAAGAGGAAGTGAAAGGAGCAATCCACCGCACGTCAAGCGGGAAAGCTCCAGGATCAGACGGTATTCTGACGCAAGTGTTTAAATGCGGGGGACACGCTCTCATTCGGGAATTGACTGAACTATTCCAGAGTATATGGGACACAGAGCAAATCCCTCAGCGACTGAAGAATGCCAGCATTGTCCACATTTATAAAGGTAAAGGTAGTCATCACGCATGCGACAATTACCGAGGCATCTCCTTGTTATGTATTGCTGGGAAAATAATGGCACACGTGTTGTTGAACCGTCTGCAGCAGCATCTTGAGAGAGGTCTTCTCCCTGAAAGTCAATGTGGCTTTCGTGCTGGACGTGGAACTGCCGATATGATATTTACTGCTCGGCAGATCCAAGAGAAATGCCAGGAGCAACACCGCGACTTATACATGACTTTCCTGGACCTGACGAAGGCTTTCGACACGGTATGTAGAGAAGGACTTTGGCACATAATGCACAAGTTCGGTTGTCCCACTAAGTTTGTCGCTGTAGTTCGTCAGTTCCATGAAGGTATGATGGGAAGAGTGCTCGGTGACGGAGAAGAATCCATAGAGGTTCCTGTGTCCGGTGGCGTCAAGCAGGGTTGCGTGTTGGCACCAACACTGTTTAGTATGTATTTATCAGCATTGCTGTCAGACGCCTTCAGGGATGGTCCGAGGGGAATACACCTGTGATATCGAATGGATGGAAAGCTGTTCAATCTTCGCCGTTTGCAAGCGCGCACAAAAGTTCGTTTGTCTAGTATCAGAGACCTGTTGTTTGCTGATGATTGTGTGCTGAGTGCGACTTCGGCGGAAACGATGCAACAGGAGCTCGACTGCTTCGCAAGGGGATGTGGCGATTTCGATCTTACAATTAACACCTCTAAGACAAAGGTTGTGCTTCAGCCCGGTCCTTGTCGATCTCTAGTTGATCCAGAATTATCCATTGATGGTGTGAACCTGGAGACTGTTGAGAGTTTTCGCTATCTTGGAAGCACGCTCTCGAAGGACGCTAACATCGACATAGAGGTTGACCACCGGATCGCACGTGCGAGCTCTGCTTTCGGAAGACTCCGTCTCAGTGTGTGGGAGCGGAGAGGGCTCAGACTAACCACCAAGCTGAAGGTCTATCGGGCAGTGGTATTGAGCGTCCTACTATATGCCAGTGAAACATGGACTGTGTATCAGAGGCACGCCAGAAAGCTTAATCACTTCCATCTGTGCTGTCTCCGCCGGCTCCTCCATGTTAAATGGCAAAACAGAGTTACCGACACAGATGTTCTCAAACTTGCTGGTGTCCCTAGTGTATACACGCTTCTCCAGAAAGCACAAGTCAGATGGGCCGGTCACCTCATGAGAATGCCAGCTGATAGAATACCAAAGCAAGTTCTCTATGGTGAACTTAGTGAAGATAAACGATTGGTTGGAGGACAGAAGAAAAGTTTTAAAGACTGTTTAAAACTATCCCTGCAAGAGTTTGACATCAATCATGTGAACTGGGAGTCGCTCGCCCAGGATAGATTTCTTTGGAGAACGAAGGTCCAGCAGGGTTTGGTGACAGCAGAATGTAAACGTCGATTGGTTGCCGAGGGGAAGCGTGCAGCTCGGAAGGATCAGGTGCGGTCGACCCAGAACGGGACACCAAGCCATAT